TGATCTAACTATATTAAACTACAATCTCCTATGTGGGTTTCTTGCTCACCACCTATTGCGCGCGTCCAGCAGCGATTGGTGGTTAATTTGTTTGATATACCGTGTACATCAACGAATAAGTGGAGCACCCAAGAATATTACCCTTGGGGGTAATATTCTGCCAATATTACCTCTTCTCGAGTAATGTTGATTGAATATTATCTATACAGATAATATTCACAAAATAATGCATTCGTATCAATTGTATGTAACGGACTCATCCCGTTCCACCAAAAAGTTTGAATGTCACAATCATGAATCAAGCTTCGACCGGACTAGCGATGCTGGATCAGCTCGATGACATCGACGACGAATGCATATCCAGCAGGCAGTTTCCCTGATCGCATCGGTAACAGCTACTACTGACGGTGGTAACATCAGAAGCTTTCCTCGCGCACGATTGGGATTATTGCGCGAGCTTGTTTTGCTGGATTGCTACGGTAGCTAGAGCAGATGATGTAGCCCGAACGATGGATTCAGCACTCCTTTTCTGAAAGCAGGAAGACCGATAGTGTATTGGCGAGTGCGTGCAGTATTCGTTGTAACCAAGTCTAGCAAACATGCACTATGAAACGGCACCAATGGAATAGCTCTGCTCCTCACGTTTCTGCAGAAGTGCTCCCATCGTCTACGCGCCATGACTAGGCCGTCGGCTTTACCTAAACCAATAATGCGTCTCGATAACAGCGCCGAAAGGCACCTTTTGCAATGTTACGATATGGACATTCATGATCGTTCGAACAACGCTACCACCTTCCATGTCAATGCCGACGATTTCTGAGCGAATTCGACTTGCGTAGTCTAGAGCCGATGTCCACCATGTTGCCGCTACTATTGCCCGTGCCGTCACAATGTACGTTGCGGATTGATCAAAGATGCATCACATGTTTGCGCGGATGCTCTGTGCGAAGAGTATGCGCGCTCTCATGCACAACAAACACCCAGTGTAGCTGCACTTTTGCCTGAGCTGTCATTGCAGCCACTTTATGCGTGGCAACACTTGATGTCTTACGTAGCCTGCTTGACAAACCCGGCCCGTGTCTTGCAGCGGGGCTCGAGTCTAATGCAGTGAATTGGAGAATGAATAAATTGAGGAGCAGTGTTAAACTTGATAGGCTAGTCTGGTGTGATCATGCAAAAAGGCTGGCGCAATCTTCGTTCGTCTGGCGCAATCTTCGTTCGTCTGGCACAATCCAAGGATGGTCTCGCAGGTCATATAGATAGACCACCCATGTCATACTTCCCTATGGTATGCAAGATTTAGCACGCAAAAACGCGGAGGATGCTCACACTTTCGGCCGTTTTGCCCTTGTCGATCGTCACAGTACCGTTGCTGTGAACTTGGCCGATAACAAAATGTCCGGTTGCCACTGCGTGCAATTTTGCACGGAACTTCTTGGGGACGTGTAACATCACGTGGTCTTCCGTATTGTAGAAATGATCGAAGCGTTTGGTATTTTCGCGGTCATGGTCGGCAAGAATTGAATCAAAACGACGTTTCGAATGGTAGCTCCAGTTGGCGTTATAAATCTGACGAGTGATCGTATCTTGACCGAAGAGTGGTTGACCCGTTGAAGCATTGAGAAGGATGTGATAGCTGGCTCGCACGGCGAATGCATCGTAGTGGATGGTTTTCTTCCAGTACGCACCATCGTGGCACCTGATGGCATTTATAATCTCGATGTGAACGCGTTCACAAATTGCGTTAGCTTGAGGTTTCTTGATAGTTATAGGCTTGGCTTGTATGCCGTAGATGCGGACCATTTCTTGAAACTCGTCTCCGGCGAATTCCGTTCCCAGGTCGTGTATAAACGTTACAGGACGCGGGTAGCGGCACAGCCATTCACGATCGAAGCTTTCGGCTTTGGTCAGCGAAGTTTTGTTGTTCTGAATACCCACTTCCAGCCAGCGCGTCGCGTGGTCAATCATGGTAATACCATAGGGTCCGTCATCGTAGGGGCCAATGAGATCGACATGAACGGTTTCGAAGGGATCCACCGTCTTGAGTGTTCGTGGTGGTAGTAATCCATAGTCCTGCTTGCCTCCGTGTACCTTTGACTTCTTGCGAATTCGACAATTCTTTGCATCCTTGGTAATCGCGGCTTCCATTCCGGGCTGCGTTTTAGATTATGGTTGAGTCCGCGAAAGTCTATCAGTAGACGAAGTGATCCGTTGGGATTCTTGAGAAAAAAGCAGGCGATTTCATTTCTGAATCAAAAGTCTGCTCCAGAACGTCGATGCTGATTAGATGCCAGATGAGCGCCCGAGCCTGGTTTTCGAGGCTTTTGGGACTGGATGAGGTATTGCGTTTACAGGCTTGTACTCCGGCACTATTGGTAGAGCGTAATCCTCGAATATCATCCTCCCCAAGTGACCGTCATAGAGTTGCTCGTTGTCGCGAAGAAGCTTGGGATATTTGCCGATGAGTGGCTTTAATAGCCCGTCTGGCATGAGTTCTTCTGGTCGCACTGCACTGTTGTCGACTTCTTTGCTCTCGTCGGTGAATTCATGATCACTCGCGGTGGGAGATGATGACCCGCCGGTGTTTAATTGAGTATAGTGACCATTCCACTGAAACATTTTGCCGTTAAAATTGATCACGATCCCCAATGCATTCAGGATGTCACGACCGATCACCATGGCATCCTGGCTCTGATCCAGAATTTCAAACTTGTGCGTGATTATGGCCGAAGGCTTGAGAGACGGAAATCGGAAGTGTACAATCGTTTGACCAGCACTAGTGACCTCTCCGTTGACCGTCTGAAACGTTGTCGCTGACTCGACTTGTCTATTCCCAAGCTGAGTATTGGCTGGCGTAGTTTCTTGGTGGATTATGCTCCGCGAGGCACCACTGTCTAGCACTGCATTGAAGGTGCCACTCGCGTCTTTGATTTATACTGTGATGCGTAGCGGGGCGAGCTTGGCGCTCGGTTGTTTCTTCGTGACGAGGCCGACAAGCTTAATCTCGCTGTCGCTGTAACTCTCGCTTGCCTCTTCTTCTTCGAATCTTAAGTATAAACTCTTTTTTTGAGCAGGTCGTTTCGTATCGGCAGGCTTGTGCTCTTCGCGTTGCTTCTTGAGGGAAAAGCATTCGCTGGAATCTTGAGAGCTTGATATGTGGAATGAACAGTTTTTGTCGTGCTGATGGTGGCGGTCGTGTTTCTTCTTGCCGCCTTGTATACCCGGTCGGCCTCGATGATCTTAACGCGCTCCCGATGCTCGCGATGGTTGCGCCGATCTCTGCGCCGATCTCTGCGCTGATCAGCGGAAGGGCGTTGCTGTTCGCGTCGACCTTGACCCTTTTCACCACCATGGATAGCTGGTCCATTTGGGCGATCCCGGCAAGTCTGCCTTTCGCGCCTTTCGAGGCGCTCGAAATACATCGCCAGTTCGTTCACCGTCTCATACGAAATTCCGCAACACGCGAACTTGTCCTGCCAGTTAGGCGGCATGACTTGGCGGAAATAGCGACAATGTTGCAGCTCTGAGATGGTTTGCGCATCCTAGGGCAACTCGGCGTACATCTGTGCAAGCTGTCGTAGCCGTGCCGCGCAGTTTTGTACCGTCTCTTCTCTGCGCTTGGTAAGGGACCATAGCTCTTCATCCAGGTCTTCACAGTAGTCCGCTGAGACCAGGAGAAGTCCTACCTCACGGTATAAGTCTTCAAATGTCAGACCTTTGCTGGAAGCATCGCTGGCGATGCGCTCTACTTCTCGCAACAGATCACCGTCAATCAGCGTATGTAGTTGAACAGATAGCTGTTCAGCTCTCCAGCCTTACGTTTCGCGAGGCTTCGAAACTGCATGCTCCGTGTAAGCCAGTCCTTCGATGAACCACCGCGAAAGCGCTTTATCTTCATTGTGGCGACGTCAGCTGGTGACGTCGCACTTTTCTGGCACGTCACGATGGTGTACGTGACGTATTCATCCTCCTTCCGTCCCATGATGATGGCGACGGGATTCTCGTACGGGATGTGACTAAATTAGCCAAATTTGATATATTTAAATGACAAAACCGACCCCTGTCTTGCAGCGGGGCTCGAGTCTAATGTAGTGAAATGGAGAATGAATAAATTGAGGAGCAGTGTGAAACTTGATAGGCTAGTCTGGTGTGATCATGTAAAAAGGCTGGCGCAATCTTCGTTCGTCTGGCGCAATCTTCGTTCGTCTGGCGCAACCCAAGGATGGTCTCGCAGGTCATATAGATAGACCACCCATGTCATGCTCGACGCCATGTTTTTGCGGTACATCACCACCGCGTCATGTTGACGGAGTCTTGACGGTCGGCACTCGATCTTTTTGCGGCACATTGTGGAGGCACTCAGCTATACAACTTCAAGCAGGTTGACTGCACCACATTCAATGCATATTCTACCAGACATTTAAGGCTCGAGAGCTTCTTTGGCTGTGTATGGCGTGCTTTTTTATCTTTACACTAGCTTTCGGATCACGGGAATGCAACCCATCGATCTGTGCTGACGTCCAGTTGCACTGAACCATACTGCTGTCAACGATATGTACCTGCCACACGATGTGTTCTGGCAGTAGCTCGGGACTGGATCAAGCGAGCGGGGGTCGACACAGATCGCGGCTGAATGAGGCATGGATCAACATTCGGTATCAGCTGTTCGCTCGCCAAAGATACAGCTAGCTCTCATGTTTGTACGAAGTTACAGCAGTATCAATCACTTTCATCGACGTGGATCCAAACGATCTGCTCTTCGGTCCTCATCAATCGCTACATGGTGTACCTCCCTCGGTCTATCAATCGTTCCTGAGTTCCTGGGATCCACGGTTTGCGTGACGTGCCGATTGCCAAACCAAGCGTGGGTTGTCCCCGACAACTTCATTGCTTGCACGCTGTAGCATCCATTGTGGCAAGACAGTCGTGTCGGTGCGAAAGATTCAGTTCGTCGCATGTCTTTCGCGTCGCTAGATTACAATGTCAATTCAGCCGCTATCCTAGAGTCGGCTCGACGAACGAAGGGCGTCACGAAGACAGCACGCCATCTTCTCAATAGCCCATCCTGGTGTCTCAGGTGTGACTGGTAGGTACACCAAACTGTCACAAGAAGCTATCAGTTTCCTGTTGCAAGTCCAATCGCATTCCCTCGCCACTGACCTGGACATTATGCTCTTGGCGTGCACAGGATCGTGACCATGTCCAAGAGGGCTACAGCAAGGTCAGACTTAGCAGCAGGCCACACGAACAAGACCGATTGAATGATCTCAAATCGTACCTTGGCACATAAGCCAGCTGCGTAGCACCAGAAGTGACATCGAAACCCTGTTGAGCAAATCAAAACGATCAGAAAAACTGGCACATCAAGAACATCAGTCGATTGCCCAACGCACATGCTCGTTCATGTGTCTGACGACATCTCGAGGGGACGGGACACAAACGGGAAATAACCAGTAGAAATGCTTTTCAGCTTTGTGGCCCGGAATCTGCAAAGTCAAACACGAACACCTCATCAATTGGCCAAGCAACATTCTGCAAAGCTCAAAGCACTGACACCACAGTCGTACAGAAACGTTTGGAAGGTCCTCAATTGCTCTAGCCAGCTGCTCGCTTTTCGATCTGAGTTGACCCGCACAGTGGCCTTGTGTCAAAATGATATCACGATCATAAACCGGTACAGAAGGGACTTACTTTCGTAGGAGAACATACTCGTCGTCCATGCACATGAGACGGCGATGCATTAGTCCCAGCAAAGCCATTGATGGCCGGTACTGGATGAGGGTCATCAAGTCTCCGCCACTGAAGCCACGAACTGCCGACGTAATGATCTTATCGTGATCCGCTAGCTCGACACATGACACGTGGCGTTACAAACATACTTTGCGGTACGACCACAACTTCATATGGTATGACTGTATGATCAACACTCCACATACCTCCAGCTGCACGGCAGGCGTGAAGGAATAGACCGTATAATGCAGGAGTCGACATGCCATGCAACACGCCGTACTTCACCAATTTCTTAAAGAAAAACAGGTTTGTGTGACACGGGTATCTGCATCGCAAGGTCATCAGACAAAATGCACCGACGTGTCCATGCTGCAAGCACCTTCCCGCATGGACACACCGCTTCTTACCTACTCTCCCGACGGCGCATTTCGCTCAGCACAGCTGAATCCTTCACGCGGATAATGGCACCGCCAAACGACGTCGCCGTCTTGATTGTGCCAAAGCTAAACATAGACACGTCCGCACGGTCGTCGCCCGTGTACTGCGTTCCTACAAACGCCTGTGCGCAGTCTTCAACAACCACGAGATTGTGTCTGTGCGCAACTTCAAGCACTGTGTCCAACGAGAAGAGCGAGCCGAAGATATGAGCAACCAGCAGCAATTTTGTGTTCTGCAACAGCAACAACAACAACAACAAAGCGTTCACCACCCACCCACATCTGTATGAGCATCTTTCTCTCAGGCAACTGAAGGGAATCACACAACATCAGCATAGCATCTCCCTTCTCTACTCTCTTTCGTGGTGAATATTCGGACCCACCTTTGTAATCGCACGCTCGAGCACGTCCCCGTCCACTGCCAACGTCTCGAAATCCACATCCACCGGCACGGGCACCAGGTTATGGTGCCGCAGCACATGTATCATGTCAGGAATCGTAATTGCACTGCACAGCACTTCACTCCCAGCTGGAAGCCGCAGTGTCTGCAACAGCAGGTCAAAGCCCGTGCTTTTACCACCACGACCGAGCCCAAATCAAGCACCAAACAGCCCAAAATTCAGTATACAGAGCCCATTTCGACCCATTTCGACCCATTTCGACCAAATGCACACCAATCATAACGTCGACACACGGCCAAAAGTTGAACAAAACACCGTCTCGTCTCGAGCGTTGTCACTAATGGACGTACCGAATCGAAAGCGTAAGTAATATACGGCCGCGAACGTCCCACAAGTGCGAAATCTGTACCTCGAGCTCCGAGCGCTGCGACTCGCTCCGCTGCAGACACGCAGCCAGACCGGCAGCAATGTCGCGGTACGTCACGTCGAGCTTCTTGCGGGGGAAAATCGCCCACGGCGCGCGGGCAGACAGCCGCTCGAAGTCGCCTGTGACCAGCACAACACGAGCCGAAACGACGGTGTCAATCGAAGGTACGGGCAGCGCACGGACAGCGTCAGGACGAACGGACCGAACGGGCGGAGGTGGGCGTGCGTCATATGGGCGTACGTCGGGTCGTCTACTGTGGCAAGTGGACGGCAACGCTCGTGCGCCCGACCGGGTAATTTATAGCGCAGGCACAGATGTGTGGTAATTTACAGCGGGTGCGCAAACGAGCTCAAATTGGAGGTGCAGGTGGCGGTTTCGACATTTGGACGAGTTGAAACGTTTATAGTCGAGTTTAATCGTCGACATTGCTCGATTGATGAGTGCGACAATCTGGACGGACACAAAAAAGGGCGAACGACCCACTCAAAAGCAAAACGCTGTCCGCGCACACACCGCTCTCTTCGATAAGGTGTCATTTATTCGACTACCATCTGCAACAAGTTTGCTCGAGTTTGGCGCCTACCATTCTGTTCTACCGTTGCATTGTTGTAAAGGATACAAATAGCTGGATAAAGTGGGATACAACGAATAAAAAGGAGATGTTTTGCTTTTCGCTTGTTGCAGCGTAGCACGATACGTGACACAATCACTATCCCCTTCGTCAATAAAGTCAAGTTTTGTCGGCAGCACCCTCTTCAATCCCAAGACAGAGGTAGTCTGAGTGCTGCAAGCGTTGCAAATAGTAAGCTGAAGGTTGCAAAAAACTTGATAAGCAGCCCGTTGACTTTCTGGGATACATCGAGCAGAGCTTGTAGCATGCATTGCGTAGAAACTTGATCTAACTGTCTCGGTGAACCTGTCCGTGGCAGTGTCACATATTCATCAGTCCATCATTTTCCTCTACCCTACGAGCCTCTATTTGAATCTTGTCCTCGATGTTCCAGTTGAGCACTTTCATCCTCTTCGACGCGACATGAAACTCGAGTATCGACAGAAATGTCAGGCACGCATCGCTTTGGCCTTACCTTTGAGCTCCTGCTCCAGCTCAATCTCCGCGTCATCATGATCCCTCAAACAATACATGTTCCTTTTCGTGTCAGTGGTATTTGGCAAGACACGCAATTCTTAAGGCACGATAAGCAATGTAACGGGGTTACACGTCGGCTGGTAGCCGACGATAGGTGTGGTGCACACACGAGAGGGGGGTATCCTATAAGGTAATATTAGAACACAGTGAGCGTATCAATTGTTGAAGACTGGTGTCTGTCATCAATTGATTGCAAGATCTTTTAAGAGGTTATTTAGGGCAGGTTAAATATGTTGTTCTAAGGTGTTCTTTTAGGTTAAATGAAGAAATAAAATTCAGTTCCCATTTTGATCAACATAAGACACGTGCCTTACGAGGCGTCTTTGATCGGGAGGACAGAAGCAACGCCTATAAAGGTAGCTTGTCCTCGAGCACTCTGTGCTGTGATTCATTTGAATCGTTTGGTCCCTCTGGAACGGGGACCGTAAGCTCTCTGAGCTGTTGACTCTCTGAGTCGGGTTCTCTGAACCACCCTTTAAGCCCTCTGAGCTGTTGACTCTCTGAGTCGGGTTCTCTGAACCACCCTTTAAGCTCTCTGAGCTGTTGACTCTCTGAGTCGGGTTCTTTGAACCTTAAGTTGCTCATTGATCGTTAAGTCTTCCTCTGACTTAAGGAGCTGTGTAGCTCCGCTACACTTGGTAGCACTTGTAGTCAATCTACACCTGAGTCGGTAACGACTGATCCTCTGCGAGGATGGAGCAATCCACACCCCTCTCTGAGGCTCAAAAGGTCGCGCTTGATAAGCTGACCGCGGCCGTAGGTCTAGAGTATGTGGAGTTTCTAGCTGCACAGGGTCCCGATGTGCTCAATGCACGAGTCGAGGCCTTTATGCAGTATGAAACGGCCCTGTTGGGCCAGGTTCAAAACCAAGTAGCGTCGGCTATGCCGACACGCTACGTGGCTATGCCACCAGAAGAGGCTAAGCCTCGTCCCCTTCGGGTGGACGTTAAATGTTACTCCGGGAAGGAGGGGGAAAACTTGACCCTCTGGATCCGTGAGATTGAGATGGCCATGGACTCTGGTCTCATCTCACTAGAGAACCAACGGGTCTCTTTGGCTATCTCTAAGCTCGATGGTAGAGCTAGAGAGTGGGCTTTGACGTGTGGCACGTCGGTCAATTTGGCATTTCCCACGTGGGAATCGCTCAAGTTAGACCTCATGCGAGTTTTCTCGCCGCCTAACCAGGCATATCGCGTGCGATCACGCTTCTTATCAACCCGTCAGGGTAAGAGCGAGTTAACGGACTATGTCCAAGAGTTGAGAACTCTAATGGCTGCTATGCAGTCTGACCCTCTCCCTGAGACTGTCTACGTGACAGTCTTCATGGAAGGTCTCCGCACTGGCGTGGCCAGAACCGAGGTTTTTCGGGTTCGTCCCTCTACTTTTGAGGAAGCTGTGAGCGTCGCTCAAAATGCTGAGCACAACTTCAAGTCGGCCAGACTTGGTTGGAATGGGTACAACCCAAGCTTTGCGAGGGCGGCCTCTGCGAGGACTTCGGCTTACTGTAAGCCAGAACCGATGGATCTCAGCCATGCTGAAGATGAAGGCGAAGCGGAGCTTCATGTTGCGGAGCAACGACAGGATGTGAGACGCTGTTACATGTGCGGAAGCACTAAACACTTGCGTCCCACTTGTCCTTTGCGTAAGCAACAACCGACTCCTATGAGTCGAAACCCCAGCCTCAACCAGAAACCTGGTATGGCACGGGGAAACGTCGACACCCAGTAGGCGCGGGGCGCCCTACTGGGGTGGAACTAAGTTCTGTCACATCTCTACGAGATAAAGTGAAACAGGGCTTAGCCCCACTTAGCGCTGTGCCAGCCATCACAGAGCGTGGATACAAGCCTGGCTTGTTAGTCGCCGAGGCGAAAGTTAAAGGCTTTGAGAAGCACTGGTCTATATTAATCAATTATGGGGCGTCATGCATATATGCTAGACGCCGTTCCCTCGAGGGGAGTCAGCAATATGCTGAAGCGTTCAAAGCGCACGAAGGTGATTCGATCACCGTTCGTTTAGCGACTGGTAGTCGCGTCACGGTGCCTAAAGTTCCGTTGAACTTAGGTGTGAAGTTTTTGGACTTTGACAGCATTGAACGTTGTCTCGTCCTCGATTTGGATTCGAGATATGATCTCATCCTGGGTATGGCTTGGCTTGAACGCCATGAGCCATGGATTGATTGGAGGTCTAAGACCTTAGGCGCAACGCGCAATGTTCCTAGCGAAGCTTTGGAGAGTCATGAACCCACCTTTGCTAGGCAACAAAAGCGCTATTGGCGCGAGCCATTGACGGAAGATGTCAATGTGCTGGACATTGGTATGTCAGAGTTATTTAACTCGAATGTCGATGACATAAATATTGAGCGGAGCTCTTCTAACGCGTTTGGAGAGAGTTATACTCCGTTGAGTGATACTCGTTGTGATACTGAGTCACTGCATGCGTCAAGCATGGTTGGCCTAGGGCCGAAACATCAAGAATGTAATTCCTCTGATGTAAGTGCGATGGCACGTGAAAATACACAGAGTGAGGACGGCCGAGGTGGCACCTCACTGAATGTCGGTAATGACATTGATGGCGAGAAGCCAGAGTGTTCAGGGCTAGGCCCTAATGCTATAAGTGCGGTGGCACGTGAAATTACACAGAGTGAGGGCGGCCGAGGTGGCACCTCACTGAATGTCGGTAATGACATTGTTGGCGAGAATCCAGAGTGTTTAGGGCTAGGCCCGAATAATGTACGTGAAGTGGTACGTGTAAATCCACTGGGTGAAGTGTTCGAGTTACGTAACACTTCACCAGATGTCGCTCAAGACATGAGCTCTCGTATAGAGCGTGCTAAGATGAATAGCAACCACGGGGACTTTGCTGTCTCGGCCTCTAAGAGGCGTAAGGTTTCTTTGAGGAAACAATCGAAGCGTAGGGTGGTGACTGTTAAGCGCCCAACGTTTAAGAAGTCACGAAGTGATAATAGTAATAATACACTGTATACACTTGTCAATGGATTGACTGGCCAGATCGATGGCAATATTAGTCTTGAGACTCTTCCATCCGTGGATAAAATCTTTGAGCTAGACGAGATGTCTGACGGCGAATTTAGCCAAGCCTTGCAGGCAGGAGAATTCTCCGAGTTAGTGGTCATTCGGCCTGATATTGAGTTGAACTCATCCTCGTTATTGGACGAGTCTGTCCTTGAGGACACAAAGGCGGCATTGGATGCCCGTAGTGGATCCTCAATCCTTAAGGATCCTCTTGATCCGTTTTATCCTTTGGTAAAGGAATTTCAAGACGTGGTGTGTCACGACCCACCGTCTGTATTACCTCCTGATAGAGGTGTGCGTCATGAAATTGACTTGGTTCCTGGAACTAAATACTGCGTAACACGGCAGTGGCCTTTGCCCAAGGAACAGTGTGACGTCATAGACGACTTCTTTCGTGCAAAGAACGCGGCGGGGATGGTTCGTGAGAGCAAATCTCCCCATTCCACACCGACCTTCTGTGTCAAAAAGCCCAACGGGAAGTGGCGCATTGTTCATGCTTACAATAAGCTTAATGTGGCCACCATCCCGGCTCAGACACCAATTCCGAGGAAGGATGTTCTTCAGAACAATATGGTGGGATGTACAATGTACAGTGCGCTCGACATAGTCGATGGTTATTACCAGCTTCTCATGCGAGAAAGCGATATTCCGCTGACAGCGGTCAGCACTCCAAGCGGTATGCTCTGGGAGTGGCTCGTTATGCCGCAAGGGCTATCAAATGCTCCGGCTACATTCAACCGTCTTGTGACACAATTGTTTAGACCTCACAGAGGTTATGCACAGACGTACTTTGATGACATCTTTGTCCATAGTCGTGCTATGAACAGTCGGTCAGATGTGGATAATCACATTGACCATTTACGAGCGGTGCTCGAGTGCATGCGCACGAATAAGTTGTACGCCAACGCGTCTAAGTGCATTTTTGGTGCAGAAGAGATTCCCTTTTTAGGGTGCTTTCTTGGTAGGCAAGGCCTTAGAGCGGATCCCGCCAAGGTAAAAGCCATAGTTGATTGGCCGGTTCCAAAGAACCAAAAGGACTTACGTAAGTGGC